TATTTACAGAATCAAATAAATTATTAATGTACAGTTTATTGTGGAAAATTAAATTTCTTATAAAAAGTTGAAATCAACAACAATTAACACGCATCTGAGTTAATTATCATTACTTTGACAACTTTATCAGGAACAAACTCCAGGCTTAAGGTCTTAAACTAGATACCGCATAGCGGTGACATAATGACCCCCCGCATGCACAAATGCACCAGAACTCAGAAGTCTTTATTCCTAATATACAGTATGTCATGCTACTAGGTGCATCCCAAAATTGTAGTGGTTTGGGTGGGGGTCTGATTTTTTTGGGTGGGGTGGGGGTGGAGGGGGTTGACCTGATGGATAGCCCATCATCAGAGCTAAACAAGATAATAAATCTGAAGCTCCCATGTTTAATAGTTTTGAGCATTAACCATTTTTGAATGTCCAAATACCCATTTTTCAGATAAAATTGGGGGTCCAGGGTTAGGTGGGGGCACTGATTGGTTGACCTGATGGATAGAGCTTCATCAGAGCTAAACAACAAAAGAAATCTGTGTTTAATAGTTTCTAAGTTATAAGCAGTTTTGCATGTCCTGACACCCCCTCTTTGAAAGGAGCCCCCTCCTCAAAAATGGGGTCTATGGTAAAACCGTTGGCTGGTGCAGTGTAGGTCAGACTCATCTACAGTCCTGCCAAATTTCATTTGGATCGGTGCAGCTGTTTTTGTGCTACTTTTGACCAAAAATCATTGGAAAAAAAAACAGCGTGCGGGGGTCATAATAAAATAAAATAAAAAATAAAAAAATAAAATGAAAAATAAAATAAACAGTATGTAAACAATATGGCTCCCACTTACGCTTTGCATACAGGGGTCATAATAAAGATTTAAATGTAGTGTTTGTTGGATATCACTGACTTACTACAATCCCAAATTTCATCCAAATATGTCTAAAAATGGTCAATTTTGCATTTTAGCTATGACTGCCATCTTGGATCTTTAGTTCACATTCATAATTTGTCAAAGCTTGTTCTAGGTTATTACTATACCAGTTTTCTATACTAAGACTACTATACCAGTCTTAAAATGGCTGAATTAGAGCCTCTTTTTATTGACTAGCTTAAACTTGTGATTAGCATTCAGAATATGTTGATTTAGCTCTCAGCTATCAGTCCACCAAATTTGAGCTTTGTATGTCTTAAAACTGCTGAGCATTCCGGTGCCATGTTGGGTTACACAAACCCCACCAACTGTTCAGGAGGATCATTACACCCCCAAAGGTTGTTTCACTGTGTAAGTGGTGTGTACAGCAGGGTGGCCAAAGATTTGTCTGTGGTGGCCATGGCCACCCCCTGGCTCCGCCCCATCTGCAACACCTTACTTTCCACATGAGAACATTTCTGAAAATTTTAGTTCAGACAACCAGCTGCTGTGGGAAAACTATAAGGTCTATTGAAATCATTCTTGAACTGTGAGCGAAAGAGATTCGTTCTTACTCATGAAAATTTTCAAATTTGTACAGCATTTTATCTCAGAGATGTGACGATGTAAAAATAGTTGTTGTTTTGCTTCAGAATCGGAGCGTGAAAAAATCTTTACATAGAGGAAGAGGGAGGGAAGTGGTCCAGCTCCAGGTCTCTGTTTAAAGCTCTTGTTTTGTGTCTCCGCTTGTTTTAGGAGTGATTCTGGTGGATTACGGGCCTGTTTGGAGGGAACATCGTCGTTTCTCTCTGATGACTCTGAGAAACTTCGGTCTGGGGAAGAAATCCATGGAAAAGAGAATTCATGAAGAGATTCAGTTCACTGTTAAATCACTAGAAAAGATCATCGGTACGTAATCCATATTTATGCATATTTAAAGCTTTTGGCTGTGTTGTTGGTGTGATGTTCTGTATTTAAATCTGTGTACAGGTAAAACTCTCAGTCCTCAGGTGATGTTCCACAATGCAGCCTCGAACATCATCTGTAAGTTTCTGTTTGGGACCCGTTATGAGTACGATGATGAGACCATCAAAAAGGTTGTTCAGTGGATCACAGAGATTACTAAAATAGGCAACGGACCGTGGGCCATGGTAAGTATACGCATTAAAACAGTGGCTGAAATTGATCTCCTGCAGTATGTTACTGGGGTCTATTTGGGCAATGCAGTGGTCTTCAATGCATTGTTGAAAAAGGATCTCCTATCTTAATAATTTATTCTTCCATCAACTTTAATGCGGCCCGAACAACAGAGTCGACACCCACAAATGTTATATCAAAACTATTGCAGTCATGAGATGTGTACTATTACTTTTGGTGGTGTTTCAAGTTAGCATGGGGATGTAAATTACGAGAAATGGTGTCCAAAACAACCTGTATTCAAATCACTGAGCAGAGCTCTGAACTGACTCTCAGTGAGGTCACATGACTTAAGGTTCCCACAAACTTGGGCATACCGTGCGCAGTCCACGAGCCTCGCGGACTCTGCATATTATCCACAAACGTTTGAGAATTCATACTCGAGCGTACTGATCACCTGACAAACTCCTTGATTTTTTGCAATTTCAGTCATGGTGTCAAGGATGAGGACGAATAAATAGCTTGAATTTTAGCTTTAAAACAACAAAAGAAAAGAACTTACTTTACCCAGGGTCTGAGCTATTTCCTCCCACAAATTTGTTGTTCGCCGAAAGTCCTTATATTCCCTCATTGAGGTATCATAAAGTTTCTATATTTTCTAAGCTCGTCCATGAGACACTCTACAAAATTTGACTCCATTTTGTCCACAAATGATGCCAATCTGCAACTTTATCTGCTTGGTGTCGCATCCAAAACTGTCTGCACGGACCTCCACAGAGCAAAGCGCACTCAAGTGTGTGGGAGCCTTTAGAGTGGAGAGTTGTGAACATAAACCATGTTCTTAGCAAACTCTTCCTAACACCCAATCTTTCAATGTACACATACAAATTATATGTAAATTGTTAACGTAGACCTAAAGAAAGCTTTTGACACTATTGACCACAGCATTCTTCTTGATAAATTAGATTGAATTATCTGCCCAATGATGACATTCCTTTGCTTTCAGTAAATAAAGCCAGGCCTCTCTTTCAATTTTATCTGCTGCTGATAGACTGAAAGAGGAAAACAGCCAAAAGTCAAGAGGTTTCTTCCAACACGCATCTTTCCACACTTTGCTCAGAGACGCTCAATATCATTTATCTGACTTTAAAGTGCACAAGTGTCCAATTTCAGGTGTTAGGTGCCTTTGTGATTAGGGTTGGGTATTGAAAGGGTTTATTTCGATACCGATGCTAAGTCGATACTTTCAAAACAGTACCGGTTCCTAAACGGTATTTAAAGTGGAACTTACCCCTACTGTGAAAGTAGAACTCCGCCCCCAATGCTAATTTGAATAATGCATAAAGTGGAGACTCTGAGGGGGGTGGGGGGTGAGCAAGGAGGTGTGGCCAAGAGGAGAGAACGTTGTTTGAAGACGAGACAACGTGACAGCTAGCTTTAGTTTACTTTGGCAAGCTAACATTCCTGAAAACATTTCTGAATGTTCTAAATAAATGACTTTGTAAAAAAAAAAGTTTCATGATATACATGCAAACTCACATTTAGCTGATACAACATGAAATAATCTGTTAAAATATGACTTTGGTCCAAAACRGAACAGAAAGAATATCTTTTTATTTCTGTTTGGTTCCCTGCTTCTATTAAAATTCACAGTACAGCTCAGTCTGGGCCTGACAAGTGTTCTGTCCCCCGGATCATTCCGGACACTGCAGCCGACAACACACCACTCCACCCCGGACAGAAGCGTCAACCCACCCCGGCTGCAGAGGTGTTCGGGCAGCCTGGTGTGAAAACCCCTCCTCTGCCACTGCAGTGAAGTTAGTTTCAAGTTGGATATTCGAGCTCCGCGGAGTAAGCAGCGTTTAGCTCAAGGTTGATCCGATTTATGAATGCTAATGTCGGCCAGCGGTTCTCCACCACTCCCGGCCCAAGTGCCCGAAGGTTCACTTAGGGACTGTCAACAAATTACCAAACACTCCTGTCAAACAAATGCTAATAAATGCCTTGAACAGTAACCAACTAACTAATTGTCAGTGCTAATTCATGCTTTCACATGAGATAAAATATAATCTATTAAATTTTAAAGTCATATACAATATTTTCAATAATTTTAATATTAAATAATATAATGTTTTCTTCAATAGCTTCCAAGTCATGTGACCTGTTGACTCAGAATCACTTTGAAATAATTCTACTAGTCCCTTTAGATGAGGCACAGACATTTGTTTTCAATTTTAAGCCTTTTTCCATTTTTAGGATTTTTTTTTGTCAAAATTGAGGTTTTTTTCTACAATAGCTTCCAAGTCATGTGACCTGTTGACTCAGAACCACTTTGAAATAATTCTACTGGTCTCTATAGATGAGGCACAGACATTCGTTTTCCATTTTGACTCAAATTTTATTTTTTAGGATTTTTTTTGTCAAAATTTAGTTTTTTTTCCTACAATAGCTTCCAAGTCATGTGACCTGTTGACTCAGAATCACTTTGAAATTGTTCTAGTAGTTTGCATAGATGAGGCAGAGACATTTGTTTCCCATTTAAAGTAACTATTCATTAAAAAAAAGTTTATATAGGAAATGGAGGACTTTAATTTTATAGTTTCCAGCTGATGTCACATGTGCATCTGCAGCCAGTTGATCTTTTGTAGCAGGATTTCCGGTTTATATGATGTTCGATACAGACTAAGGTGGAAAAAGGAAAGGTTTATTCATCTCTGGAACAGTATAAAGGTAAACCAAAGGTAGAATTGCAGCCTTAAGTAATGTCTGCTCTGAAGGGTCAAACCACCTTTCATTAATTTAGAATTTTATGTCATATAATCAAATAAATGCATTTTAAAAAATGCAAACACACATATTTCAATTTGTTTCTTTTGAATATTTTATGTATTACTCTTAAGTTATAAGCACCGTTATGAAATACCACAAACAACTCACCACCCACATTTCCATGGCCTCTCCTGTAATTTATAAATAGTGCTTGGACAAACAGGGAAAAAGAAAAAGAAAAGAGAGGTGAATCACTCCATGTTAGCACTTATGACACTTAATAGACTGTACACAAAGATTAGCTTTAGTTTTAGTAACCCGTAGCATTACTGTTGTTTTTCACTAACAATTTTCCTCCCCTCCCAGATAATCACCTCACTTTTCAAAGAGCAGTTGTGCAGAGCCTGGAACAAAAGGATACATTGTAATTATAGAAATATTAAATAAATACTTAAAAATTATTGTGTGAAAATGGTTATTGATGCAAATCTATGCTTCAAGTGTAGTTCTAAATAGAGTAATTTTTAAAAGTCTAAGGTGCAATAGGTGCTGTTAAAGTGCTCTCTATATACAGTATGTACATGTATAAATATGTATAAGTGTACATGGATAATATATAAAAAATATAAATGAGAAATCCTCATGAAACACACTCCATAACAGTAGGTGGCGGTAATGCTCCAAAGCATTTTTTATTTATTTTTGACAATCATCAAAGAAGAAGTAGAAAAATAAGTGCACCTGAGAAAGCATTTCATAGCTCTTGTCAAAATGGGCCGTTTCAGGAAAGGGCAGAGCGATAAAAATAGAAATCTTTGGCAAACAGCAGGAGGCATTGATGCCATAATTAAGTGTTTCATTTCGTTGAAGTTTAGCGAGGCAGTTCCAACTTATGACCAATGGTTGTTGCTTGTTTTTTTTAAATCTTTTTAAAAGTAATGATAAAAAATATTTGAAGTGGTTGAAGGTCATTTGGGCTTCAGATCGCAAAGGAATACAGACAAAGGTGCAGGTAGTTTTTTTGTTTTTGCTAGTTACAATGTTGTTAACAGTATTCTTTGCTTATTTTTGTGCCCCAAATATGGAGAGCCATTACATTCAAAATTAAATAAATGAATAATTAAATTAATTAATTAATTAAATTAATTAATTAATTAATTAAAAGGGACACAGAAGAAAAATATGTCTGTTGCAAAGAGATGGTGTTTGTTGTGCAGGATAAAGTAGAATTTTTTATTTTTACTTAGAATTCTCCTGTTTTACTTCAGTATCCTTATAGGGGCTTATAAGATTTGTATTTAACATACATAAATAATAAAAATGTACAACTAAAATGTGTTATTTCGATATGTTTCTCGTTAGGTGGCCAAATCAGTTAGAAGGGCAATGTGACAATGGCAATGTGTGGAAATGACAGTGGGACCCAAAATCAAGCAGAGAGTAGTACAGGAGAACATTCTGCTGACTATACAGGACAAAATACAGTGCAGGACAGTGAACAGTCATTGGACAAAGCTAAATTCCATGTAAAACAACCACAGTCAGAACAGCAGACAGGATATAATGACGAAAATGACGATATAACAGAGGATGCAAAAGGTACAAAATCAAAGAAGAAATCTATCAAAAGAAAAAAAAAAGGGATAGAATAGGTCAGGAAATTGTTCAGCCCCATAAATGTTTGGACACACAGAGTAGTACAGCACAAGATGCGTACTCTGACGACACAGGCCAAGGTACCACTGAGGACAGGGAGCCGTCACAGGACAAAGTACATGTCAATAAAAACAGCCAGATTCACAACAACAGACAGGACATGAGGAAACAAAAGAGGCTCAGAATGAGGAAACAACAGAGGATCAGAATGAGGAAACAACAGAGGATCAGAATGAGGAAACAACAGAGGAAACATTAAAGGCTCAGAATGAGGAAACAACAGAGGAAACAACAGAGGAAACATCAAAGGCTCAGAATGAGGAAACAACAGAGGATCAGAATGAGGAAACAACAGAGGATCAGAATGAGGAAACAACAGAGGAAACAACAGAGGAAACATCAAAGGCTCAGAATGAGGAAACAACAGAGGAAACAACAGAGGAAACATCAAAGGCTCAGAATGATGAAACAACAGAGGAAACAACAGAGGATGGAAATGATTACCAGAAACATGCTAAATCTAGAAGAAATCCAAAAAAGACAATGGACAAAAAAAAGAACAACATAAACACAGAAAAAGTGACTACAGACAATGAAAGGCCCCGTAATTTTAAAATAAAGATAACAAGAAAAGAGTGGGAAAAAAATCAAACCCAAACATCGCCACAGTCAATTATGTCACCCTTGGACTGAAATATTATGTGATTAATTCAACAAAATAAATCCATGTTTGTCACGACTTGGTGGTGAGGAGAACTCAAAATGCAGGCATCCAGGCAGACCAAACTTAAAGTGATTAAAAAGACTTTAATAAAGAAAAAAGCCAACGTGGTGGCAGGCTAACAAAACAAAAAATCAAAACTTGGAACATGAGCATGCGGTGAGAACAAACATGGGTAAGCAACGGTCAGACGCTGAAGTGATGAAGAGAAGATCCTTAAATACAAACAGGGCTGAGTGGAAGTAGGAAACAGCTGGATGATTCCAATTAAGGACAGATGAGTGTGGCAGGCTGGAAAAATACTAAGAAGCTGACTGAGGCACAGGAAACTGAAAACAGGAAATGAGAAAATAAGACAATACCAAACAATCTGAAAAATACTACCAAAAATAACAAAACACAAGAATCACAACAATGTTGTACACTTTCCTTTAAATATCAACACGTGAAACTCAGCAGCAGCCGTAAAAAAAGGTGTCCATTTTTTATTGCTCTTGCCAAATGCACCTTTAATGGATGCAATGCAATTTATTCTTTTAGAAAGAAGAACATCCCTAAACCTTTCGACAGCAAAATCTCTTTAATTGTGAAACGGCTTGGTTCGGTGACACACCATAAAAAGAACGGAGATTCAGTCCAGGAAAATACTTAAAAAGCGGTAAGATAGCCAGAGCTGTAGCAGATGGTGTCAGTAAATACTACTATTCAAAGTTGAGGCAGACACCAATCAAAGAAATCACAGCGGGGAACAATACGAAAAGCCTCACTAAAGATGTGTTAAGAAAAATTTAATCAGAATTAAAGAAGAGTACAAGATAATACTTGAACTCATTTTAACACAAAAAACTGATTAAAGAAACAAGCATTAATTCAAACTCCAAGGGATATTTCCAACAATTTCACATTGACCCTTTTGCAGTGCATTTACAAACAGACGCTGGATTACATATTTTGGCCCACCATCTAAGAAATTCATCACCTGTTACCCTCCACCTTGATGCCACAGGGAGTGTTGTACAAAAAATACATGGTCAGGAAAAAAAATCTGTATTAGGCTATGGTTTTGCCAGGGATGGGCAAGGACAAACCTCCTTTGCCCATAACTGAGCTATTGACCAACAGCCATACCGTTCCTTCCATTTCACACTGGTTGATGGAATTCAACAGAAAACTGATCCACACTACCAAAATCAAAATAGCACAGATGGAAACCGACTACAGCTGGGCTCTCATTAATAGTGTGCTAATAGCCTTTAACAAGGAGGATATTTCATAGTACCTAGATAGAGCGTTTGAGATTGTGCATGAACATAAAGTTGGAATGAAAAACTACACAGTATTGCACCTGTGCTCTGCCCATATTATGAAGGCTGTTACACAAGCTTTTGGGAAAAAGATCCGTGATCGAGGCTTAAGAGTATGCAAGCTATTGTTTAGCATCCCTTTTAAACTGTAATAACCTTCAACTTGCCATGGAGGTGTTTTACATCATGTGTGTACTATTTGATGCAAAACATTGCAACCCCTTAGTACAAACAAGTCAAGCATACCTCAACAGCTGTATCTCCAAAAACAAGTCAGAGAAAGATGATGGGCAGCATACAGCAGAAGCACAACACAGCAAAAGTGATAAAAGCAACAGCATTATTGCTAAATCACCATTTACAAGGACTTTCCAAGTTTTACGGGACCAAGCTCAGGTTGACAATTTGTCCGAGGAATCAGAGATCACAGAAAATCATTACTGCTGTCCTCCTGGGATAGTTGATGTGCTTGTGAAGAACTACATGGGAATCATCCCACTGTGGAGTGGTATATTACTTCTTGACTTAACACAGATAAAACAAGCAAATCAAGAGAAACAAACAGCCATGTGGAGCTGTGGTTTGGCTTTGTAAAAAAGAACATCTTGGCCAAAAAATACCTCAGACCAGCAGACTTTATCACAAAATTGTATGCATCTTTACAAGGTTGGTGTGTTGAACATGTTATACAGCATGGTCTTCCAGACAAACTTCTGGACCAAACTGTAAGAGTTTCGAACAAACCGGCAGATGATCCCGAAGAAAAATGGAACAAGAGGGAAAGTTCTGCTGGTCAGACAAAGACCAAATCCAAGTATTTCAATCCCCCGAAGACATTACCCAATACCAAAACTTCCAAAGGCACCAAAAAACAAAAAAACAAAACAACAAATCACCAAAGCTGATGATGATAATAATAAAGAATCACAGGTAAGGTTTCGATTTTGTCATCGTTTCATCGGATCTGCGGCCGTATGTCTTGGACACTCGGGTGAAGAGAGGGGCAGAGCTGTCAACTGACCACTACCTGGAGGTGAGTTGGCTCCGGTGGTGGGGGAGGAAGCCGGTCA